ATATTAATTTTAGTAATAACATATATGTGTACTGGTATATAATAATAATAATATTAAAGAAATTTTGTACTATTTATTTTATATTCACATAATAAATACATATTAGCATTACATTTCACAATATGATACGTGTGTAATCAATCGATCAAATGTTTATGTGTAGATAAAGTCTTGATTTTGTCCTCTTGTTACATGATCATGCTGCTAATTGACCATTCCATTTGGAGTCATAAAATAATTGCAAAGAGTCTTTAATGTGCGTCGCAAATGCACTATTTTCGTTATTTTCAATAATTTCATCATTGTTTTCAAATTGTAAAATATTACCTTCTTTGTTTCTTAAGAAATTGTGCAAACATACAGTTGCCAAAATATATTTATTGATATTTTCAGGAATCGCAGCGATCGGTCTGTTATATATACCCCACTTTTTTGCCAAAATCCCAAATGTATTTTCTATTATACGCCGGGCTCGCGAAAGTCTATAATTAAATATGTTTTTGCGTTCCCCCAAATACCGTCCAGCATATGGCCGCATCAAATGCTTTCCAATGGGGAATGCTTCATCCCCAATAAAAAAATAAGGCACTTGTATATCGGTTCCGCTTAAGCAACTGGTTCCTTCTGGAATATCCAGCATCTCATTTGTCACATTCAAGTAGCTGTTCCCATAAATTCCCGCATCACTGTTCTTCCCTATTGACCCAATATCCACCAAAGTGAATTGATAATTGTGATCACACACAGCCAAAAGTACGATGCTGTATCGTATGTGATAATTAAAGTACAGCGTACCAGAATTAGGGGGGCATTGAGCATTGACACGTTTTCCATCAATTGCCCCCAAGCAATGTGGAAAATTCCATAATGTCCAAAAACCCTCAGCAATTTGTAAATATTCTTCTCTTGAAGGAGTTCGTTGATAGATAGGACCAAGAAAGTCTTTCAAATACGTCACACGTCTCTTTAATTATTTTATGTACTGTTGATAAACCAACACGATAGGCAAAAGCAACTGCTGGAACTTTGCCTCCAATCAGAAATCTGTAACATCATTATCAATATTATAATATTAATTGCCAAACGGTTTTTACACATATGTATTGTTAGACTACGAATAATCCGAACATATACCGCAATGTAAAAGCAACTCTTTGCTCTGGTTCAAGTGCCCGTGGACTTCGTTTCATTAAACTTGGATTAACAATGTCCATCAAGTGCTGGAATGTTGGCAGTGTCATACGTGTATACTTGTGGAACATTTGCTCATCTGTTTTCATCTCCTGAAAAAGATTGTAAAACGCTCCTTGCTGTCTTCTCCTTGTGTTAATTGGTCGTACCCAGACACGCCGACGGCGCGGCGGCGACGATGACGTTCACGGTTTCGACGACGTTGCACCAAAAGTGCTCCCATGTTGACCAGAGAAATTAACAACAAATCGAAATCATCCATTTCTGTGAAAAGACAAATGTAATTCAATCTAATGCAGTCTTCTCGAATTAAAATCACATTCAGAATTGTATGAATTAATTGCAAAAACGTTAAAGAATGGCCAAACAGCGCAAACATCAAATATCAAAATAAGTGAAAAATATTCAATGATACATACAAATAATAAAGTATTATTCGAGAAAATTAACCAAATCAAGAAAATGTTTTAATAATGAATTTTTACACTTAAACTGTATATGAAACTTACCGAAAATTATGAGATGCGTTTATTTTGCAATAAATTACAATTTCTGGTGATCGCCTCGGCCTCGACGACGTCTCGCTATCCGTTTTCGGATCTTGCGCCAATTTAGCTTTCGACGCGTCTTGATTCGAGTTTGCTTGCGTCTTGTTAGTCGCGGAGCTCTGAGCCTTCAGAGTAGAAAGCAATTTGGATACTTCTGCACCGATATCAATTTTGCTCAGTTCACATAATTTGTTCACAATAGCGGCCGGCTGGGGTACGTTGGACACGGATGTCGCAGGCTGGAACTCCTCCTTGATAACGAGAAATCAAGAGAATGTTTTAATAATAAATTTTTACATCTAAACTGTATATAAAACTTACCGAAAATTATGAGAAGATGCGTTTA